TACAGATGTGATACAATTTTATTTATAAACACATCTAGTTATCAACAATCTATTAATGTTTCCCAAAATAAGCAAAACAAAATTTAAAAAAACTGGATAATAATAATAAAAAAAAAAAAAAAAAAAAAAAAAAAAGAGAGACAAAAATATCTATCACTTTCCAGTTTCTTTTTACAGAGTGCAAATATTACTCACACAATGATTATCAAAACTGACTGAATAACACAACCACTTTCTTAATACTTGAATGCTATTCAAATATGAACAATGTATCTCAAAAGTAGCTCAACCTGTTTTCTGCAAAAAAAGAATAGCTTTGCAAATACAGTCCACTGCACTTAAAAAAATAAAGCCCTATCATGCCATTAAAATAATGAAATATTCTGAAAAAGAAAGAAAGAAAGAAAGAAAGAAAAAAAAAGACGTAAAAACAGAAATAACGGACTAGATGTGAAGCCAATGCTAAGTCTTCATTTGTCTGACGAGAGATTCCAAGTCCGGAGAGCAAACGAGCCGATGGCCGATGTGCCCAAGAACGGTCATGTTTCCACTCTTCTTTTCTTCATCTGTCTCGACACTCACAACATCCTGATGAATTAGAGATTTGTATAAGTAATGAATAAGTTTAAGATGTATCATTAATCAAATATAACAATGACATAAATGATTATGTGTACACACACACACACACACATATATATGGAAAGAGAGAGAAGAGAAAATACTCACCTGCAAAAAGCCAACCTGAGTTCCCTTATTAACAATAAGCTTATGTTCCCCTAACCACAACTCGGTCTTCCCTGATTTATATATCTTGAGCTTCCCAATCTGCCCTTCTGGTAATGTATTTAAAGTACAATACTGAGGTTGTGCTTTCTTCTCCTCTTCATCATCAGCAGTCTGAGGAAAAAAAATTCAAGTGCTGTAATTTGCATAAGCTGAGAAAATGGCAGTAGTGAAAAACCCAAAAACTAGAAGCCTGACGAAATATTAATGATAAATAATGTAAAATCGCATTCTTTTCAGCACCAAGAATTAGGATACGACTTCGTATTGTTATATAAAAATGAAGAATTACACTTTTCCCTATCTAAGTATATGTTCCTGAATCCAGAAAAAAGTACAAATAAGAGACAAAATAAATGGTAACTTACTGCATTGCTAACATTACTAGGCTGTGATTGTTTCTGTTGTGTAGTTTGCGGCTCCTGTTTGATCTCAGGAGGGTGACTGGGAAGAGAGTTTGGCAGCTGTTGTGGATAAAGAATTCATTAGTTTTATATGATATGTGGATTGAATAAGAGAAGAGGAAGAAGCAGAGGGAAGGTAATATTTTCTTATTGCCAGACTATATCAAGAATCTATAAATATAAATATGATAAATCTATAAATCCAAAAAAGAACAAGAAGAATGAGGAGAAGGAAATGGAGGAGAAGAAAAAAAAGAAGAAACCCTAAAAACTAGTACCTGAAAGAACATGAAATCCTTGTGTTTCCCTGACAGAAGCTGGACCACTGATGGCTCTGGTGTCTTTTCCTTTGCTGGTAGGCCTCCCTTCATCATAACCTTTTTGTCTGTATGCTGAAATGATGGCATTTTCATACATATAGCTGGCTTTGCAAACTTATAGTCACCAAGGAGTCAATTACTTGGCCTACCTGATTTCACCTGTTTACAGTACCTGCAAATAAGGCCTGAATGCAAATATGATCTGAAAGATTTTGTATGATGTAGTGGTGTTGTTTGGTATCATACATGGCGGTTCTATGACGCTCAGACATCATTATCTGTTATTAAGTCCAGTCATTGAACTTAATGGTTGCATTCAACTGCCATAATATGCAAATTGTATGGTGTATTTGGCTGCTTGTAATTATGTTATAAGTGCTACCATGGGTAAGAATATTTCTGATTTTACAAAGACAGTTTTATCTTTACACTGCAGGAAGTGAATCATAGAGTGATATAAGGGCTCAACTAGATTTAGCAAAAAGTTCTATGGTGTTCTGGGTGAAGCAAGCCAAAAAGATACCAGGTGGTTTGCTTTCCCCTCTTTCAAGTATACTGGGGACCCCTGGAAGAAATCTTCCCAGACAGATTGGGTCTTGAAAGTTAATTACTGTCAGATCCATCTATTTCAGCTCACAATTTAAAGCAAAAACACCTATGTATGTATCCATACATACCATTCAATATCTGCTCCAGAAAGATTCCCTCTTGCCACCATGTGCAAGCACCCTTACTTACACCTGGGATGTGAAGGAAATGCATTGCTTTTTGTAAAAAATACCTCTACTGGACCAAAAAAGACTGGGGAAATGTTCTCTGAGGAGTCACCTTTTCACTGTTTTGCCAACGTGAATACGACCATCCATCGACTGGCTTTCTTGGATGGACTACTCTTATTACTGTTCCTTGATTCATTCAGTGCCCTAACAACTGAGTTACACTATCTTCTAGTAGTAGACTGGAAAGGGTTTATTTCCAACTATGTCTAATCCCACTTTTTTCAGCTTTTTTTTTTTCACTGATAGCATTCTGATCATCTTTGTGTTCACATCTATATTGCAAGCACTGTACCTATTCCATAAAAGAAAAGGAAAGAAAAAGAAGAAAAAGAAAGATTTTTCTCCCCATTGTTATAACTTTTGTTATCAATTATATATACAAGTATTATCATCATCATCATCTGTTACTCAAAATAATAATGGTAATATAGAAAAAGAAATAAAAAGAAAAAAAGGAAAAATGAAGAGAAAGAATGGGACATACAAGGAGGTCAAGAAGCCTAGTACCTGTGACTAGGCACCTCTGGAGCCATTTATGTGTAAACAAACTTAATGAAAACCAAACCAAATAGGACAGTGCATATGGCCTTCACATGCACTTCTGGCATCAGTGATTTTTAAGTCAAAAAACTTTTTTTTTTAATAATAATAATAATAATAATAAGAGAGAGAGAGAGAGAAAAAACAACAACAACAACAGAATCCCTTACAGTACTGCTGTAAAATTTAAACAGACATGGCTATAAATTTCCTGCTTTGAGAGAGGCTTCTCTGACTATCAAGTGATATAAAGTAATACCGGTTTTCCTACTTTCTGTCTTTCCTATAACATCAGAATTAATCTATCTGTGAAGAAACTGGATACACGCAGACATTAAGTGTTTTATCTTGATCTATCTCTCTATTTCCCCTAAATATACTGCTCTACACATGCAGCTAAATGTAATAATAACTCTCTTACGGAACAGTGACTAGTATAAAAATAATATTCAAGACTAGACTGCAGCTAAAAGTGTTTAAACTGGTATGGCATTTTGTGCCTATTAGTTTGTGAATATCAGTACAGTGATGCTTGATATTTTTTTTCTGGCTAGAAAAGAAAATCTAGAGGTAATGTTTAGTTTATCATTGTATATGCAAAATGTGGTGAAAAAGAAGGAAATAGTACCTTTATTGTCATACGCTTGTAATATGACAGTAATATGAAATGAAAATATATCTTTATACCTCAAAAACTCAACCATCTACTTTCAATAAAGCTTTACATCTCTATGTGCACATGCAAAATTGTACACACTCACACACGTCCCGCAAAAACAACACAGTTGCCTATGTGTAACTGACACTGTCTTCCAAGGTAATTACAAATAAAATATGAATAAAATATTTGTCATGATGTAACAAATTAAATTTCTAAGGAAAGAACATGCTGCTCCTGTCATATATTCTAAGCAGTTATGGGGATATATGTACAAACACTTCATTCTATGTTGCAGTGTATTGATCATATCACCATAACACAAAGTCATGACTTCCCAGATTCTCATGTACTGTGGAAACATGGGAGAGTACACTTCTAAGCATGAAAAAGTAAAATAATTCATAGATCGTCACTGGAAAATACCCTTAGAAAGCCCTGAAACAAAATGGAACACTTCACACAACAAATGCAGCTAAAACACAGACTTTGTTGAAGTATATCAAAACCAACCTTTGGGAAATCAATTAAATCAATGAAATGATATACTGGTACTTACCTTGAGTAGATTCTCTTTCTGAAATATATTTTTGATGTTCAGACAATGAAGGTATATAATCTGCTCAATTTATTGTGTAAAGCACTTTAATGATACTTTTAAAACTTGTATTGCTTTATTTTTTGAAGTATAGTGCAGACACTAATTTTATGCATACAATCAGAAGGCTTTACATTTCATGATCAATTCAATTTTATCATCCCTCTCCACAAAATAATTTGACCTTTACCTTTGCAAACCTGGCTATTAGAAAAGTATTCTTAGGTATCTTTTCATTTTCATGAGTTTCCCAGGTCCCCAGTTTACCTTATTCATGTTAGAAAACCTTTAAAACCATGAATACAAAGCTCTGCCATAAAATTCTCTTGCTATGTCGAAAGCCAGCCATGTGAAGGGGGTGACTCTTGACACCTATACTTCTGATCCTATTAAAGGATAACTACAGGTATCAATTTTTCTGTATTTTCCTTCTCACTTATCCTAGATACATGCAGCTGTGCAATTAAATACTTTATTACACACTAGGACTTTACAAAATCCTTTAACTCATTGGATCCAGTTGATGTGACCACTACATCATGAGGGTAGAATGAACCATCTAAGAGCTATGGCTGGAAGAGTACCAGTTACAGGGAGGACACTATATCCATGGTTAGGATCCTATTCCTAGCTGCCTTGCCAGTGGCACAGGTTATTTTACAAAAAACTGAATAATACAAAAATATTTTTTAAATGACACAAATAATAAAATATTACTTATTCTTAGACTTATAGACTACCTAAAGATATGACATGGCAACTATGCAAGGAATACACTCTATTAACAAATATAACATATCAAATGACAAATATAGAGCTTGGATGATGTCAAAAAAGCAAAAAACACTCACAGAGAAAAAGAGATACTAACATTGCAAATGGGAGGCAAGGAGTCTTGATACCACACAAGTGTTTGTGTCGGCTGGGCCTATGAGCCACACACTCAGGAGAGTCGCCACTCAAGTAGGCCTAATGCCTGGATTTTGGGCCATGTGTGGGCTGCAATGCACCTGGATCTAATGGGTTATAGACTAAAAACTATCAAAATCAACCTATGTCTCTAATACATAATTGGTCCTTACCTTAATATCCTTTGTCTCTACGGCAGCTGCAGTGTCATTTACCACTGCCATGGCTTCTTCAGGATCTGCTGGTTCACTCTTTACTGTGGAAGGAAAGTTCATATATATAGATCTACAATTATTACATAGATCCCATGCTTCTTTATATCAAATTTCAAAGATAACTTCTCTTATTCTGCTTTTATTGTATGAGTTTTATTAATATTTCTCCCCAAGAATAAATGGTAGTAGCAACATTTAATTTGGACTTTAACATTTTTCAAACATTCAACCTTTTTAGAATATAAAGTGATGTAAAAATGTCCTCTAACCTCAAATCCTAACCTGAAAGAAATCACTTACAAATTTTCTTTTTCTCTTACCTTCAGTGCCATCGGGAGTGATAATTGGTTCTGTTTTTTTTATCTTGACATCATGGTCAACGTCCTCTTCCTTAAAGCCCCGACCCGTGTCCACCATCGGGAGCTGGACTGGGAATAAGTCCTCGTCGCTGTCCCGTTCTGAGAGGTCACTGGGGTCATCTATGAAATTGTCTCTTAGTAGGTCTTTCAATTTTTGGTCTTCATGATCCTAAAAAGAATAAGAAAAAGAAGAAGAAGAAGAAGAAGAAAAAGAAGAAGAAGAAAAAGAAGAAGAAGAAGAAGAAAAAGAAGAAGAAGAAGAAGAAGAAGAAGAAGAAGAAGAAAAAGAAGAAGAAGAAGAAGAAAAAGAAGAAGAAGAAGAAAAAGAAGAAGAAGAAAAAGAAGAAGAAGAAGAAGAAGAAGAAGAAGAAAAAGAAGAAGAAGAAGATAAAAGAAGAAGAAAAAGAAGAAGAAGAAAAAGAATAAGAATAAGAAGAAAAAGAAGAAAGAAGAAAAAGAAGAAAGAAGAAAAAGAAAAAGAAAAAGAAAAAGAAGAAAAAGAAGAAGAAGAAAAAGAAGAAGAAGAAGAAGAAAAAGAAGAAGAAGAAAAAGAAGAAGAAGAAAAAGAAGAAGAAGAAGAAGAAGAAGAAGAAGAAGAAAAAGAAGAAGAAGAAAAAGAAGAAGAAGAAGAAGAAAAAGAAGAAGAAGAAAAAGAAGAAGAAGAAGAAGAAGAAAAAGAAGAAGAAGAAGAAAAAGAAGAAGAAGAAGAAGAAAAAGAAGAAGAAGAAAAAGAAGAAGAAGAAAAAGAAGAAGAAGAAGAAGAAAAAGAAGAAGAAGAAGAAAAAGAAGAAGAAGAAAAAGAAGAAGAAGAAGAAGAAGAAAAAGAAGAAGAAGAAGAAGAAGAAAAAGAAGAAGAAGAAGAAAAAGAAGAAGAAGAAGAAAAAGAAGAAGAAGAAGAAAAAGAAGAAGAAGAAAAAGAAGAAGAAGAAGAAGAAAAAGAAGAAGAAGAAGAAGAAGAAAAAGAAGAAGAAGAAGAAGAAAAAGAAGAAGAAGAAAAAGAAGAAGAAGAAGAAAAAGAAGAAGAAGAAGAAAAAGAAGAAGAAGAAGAAGAAGAAGAAGAAAAAGAAGAAGAAGAAGAAGAAGAAAAAGAAGAAGAAGAAAAAGAAGAAGAAGAAGAAAAAGAAGAAGAAGAAAAAGAAGAAGAAGAAAAAGAAGAAGAAGAAGAAGAAGAAAAAGAAGAAGAAGAAGAAAAAGAAGAAGAAGAAGAAAAAGAAGAAGAAGAAAAAGAAGAAGAAGAAAAAGAAGAAGAAGAAGAAAAAGAAGAAGAAGAAGAAGAAGAAGAAAAAGAAGAAGAAGAAGAAGAAGAAGAAGAAGAAGAAGAAAAAGAAGAAGAAGAAAAAGAAGAAGAAGAAAAAGAAGAAGAAGAAAAAGAAGAAGAAGAAGAAAAAGAAGAAGAAGAAGAAAAAGAAGAAGAAGAAGAAGAAGAAGAAGAAGAAGAAGAAAAAGAAGAAGAAGAAGAAAAAGAAGAAGAAGAAGAAGAAGAAGAAGAAAAAGAAGAAGAAGAAGAAGAAGAAGAAAAAGAAGAAGAAGAAAAAGAAGAAGAAGAAGAAGAAGAAAAAGAAGAAGAAGAAGAAGAAAAAGAAGAAGAAGAAGAAGAAGAAAAAGAAGAAGAAGAAGAAGAAGAAGAAGAAAAAGAAGAAGAAGAAGAAAAAGAAGAAGAAGAAAAAGAAGAAGAAGAAAAAGAAGAAGAAGAAAAAGAAGAAGAAGAAGAAGAAGAAAAAGAAGAAGAAGAAGAAAAAGAAGAAGAAGAAGAAGAAGAAGAAAAAGAAGAAGAAGAAGAAGAAGAAGAAGAAGAAGAAGAAGAAGAAAAAGAAGAAGAAGAAAAAGAAGAAGAAGAAGAAGAAGAAGAAGAAGAAAAAGAAGAAGAAGAAGAAAAAGAAGAAGAAGAAGAAAAAGAAGAAGAAGAAGAAAAAGAAGAAGAAGAAAAAGAAGAAGAAGAAGAAGAAGAAGAAAAAGAAGAAGAAGAAGAAAAAGAAGAAGAAGAAGAAAAAGAAGAAGAAGAAGAAGAAGAAGAAAAAGAAGAAGAAGAAGAAAAAGAAGAAGAAGAAAAAGAAGAAGAAGAAGAAGAAGAAGAAAAAGAAGAAGAAGAAAAAGAAGAAGAAGAAGAAAAAGAAAAAGAAAAGAAAAAGAAAAAGAAAAAGAAAAAGAAAAAGAAAAAGAAAAAGAAAAAGAAAAAGAAAAGAAAAAAGAAGAAGGAGAAGAAGAAGAAAGAAGAAGAAAAAGAAGAAGAAGAAAAAAATAGTCTCAATAAATTACAAGGACACCGCAAATGACATTGTGAGGGGTGTCCAATCAAGTGAGCATAGTAGAGACCATACAATTTTGCAAATGCACCACCTTAGCCCAGGAGTCCTAGGCACAACACCGTATCATATTTATCCACTCAAACAAGGAGGAAAACAGACATGAATTTGATGATGATGCAATGAAGATAGTTGAAAATTATTTCCACTTTTTACATGGGTATGTGTACTGTCCATTGTGAATTTTGTCACCCACCCATGGCTCCACCAAGACATGAAATCACCTCCCCTATTCCTTGAATTTTCTAATGCTATGAAAATCAATAGTTAGTATCATTACTGACATAGTGATGATTATAAGGTTATTAAAATACAAACAGGGGAAAAAAAAATCTCTGAAAATCAAGGAAAAGAGTGAAGAGGTGACATAGGTAGGACTAGTAAGTCATGCCCTGGTGACTAACAATGTGTAGAGCCATCTACATGTAAATACAACAACTAAATGAAAATCACAGTGGATATGGCTTGCATGGCATCCCAGCACTAAGGGTTCAGGAGACCATCCCCTTTCAGAATGGATTAAAATGCAAGAATTGACAATTTTGAGATGTATGAACTTTACATATGAACTTTCTATATATATATATTTACACACACACACACGAAAAACCTCTGACACTGTAATGTGTGGTATGTACCTGATAAATAACAGTCATTCACTGGTATGGAATAACTAGTTCTTAAGTTTCAAACCAAAATGAACTAGAACTTCAAAAAAGAAGGCCTTCATTAAGTGCCTGATTAATGGAATTCCAGTTAAAATTTTACTCTAACCAAATAGTAAAGTGCAAATGGGTTTGCTGATTTCCTTTACTACATCAAGCATGCAGAAGACCTGAGAGAAATTAACAGTAGTTTACCTTCACCAAAGAGGGAGCCAGTCGTCTGAACAAACTCCTTGCCACGACCTCTGCCTCTTCCTCTTCCACCTTCTTTTTTGTCCCGGTCACGATTTCGCTTTTGACTTTTTTCTGCCTTTGATTCCCTGAAAGGTGTTTAGCTGTTAAAAGGAGGGAAACCTAAAACAATTTCTAATCACTGCATCATATCAATTATAGTCTAAGAATGACTTAACTTTGACTCTCTTCAGCCTTATGTTCTTAGTTGGCTCAATATATATTTTTTTTAAGAGAACCTTTCATTCTACTTTACTATATTTTCTTATTTGTTATTTCCTTCTATATTGATAATCAAATCAAATTAAAACATTAGCATAATACTTCATCTTTAACTTTTAACTTGTAACCAACTTACACAACTTTTTCAGTCTTTTCTCTTCTAACTGGAATATTTGGTGAAAACGTCTTTCTAGGTCTAGTTATAAGTGTAGGTTTAATTGGTGTAGATGCTGAGGAGGCTGAGAGAGTGAGGTCACGAGGGCCTCTGAAGGAAGGCAGACGAACAGACATGCTGCTGCTTGGGCCAGGGGTCATGGTGCCTGTCCCTCCTTTATCACGGCTCTTTAAAACAGCATTCTTGGCCTCTTCATTCTGTTCAGTCATCTGTCAAAAGAATATAATAATAAATAAAGTAAAGAATGAGGGTATACCCAGTTATGGGTTTTACATGTATATATACACAGGGGTAAAGGCATAGGTTATGGAAGTGTGATTAGCTCCATAAACACCATAATCCCCAAGAAACCCAATGTCTCCAGCTTGTCCGGCAAACCAGCTGCAAAAAACTTTTTTTAGAAGGTTCACTTCAACAAATTTTGCCAGCAGGCATTTGAAGAGTTTAATTTTGTACACTAGAAAATATACATTTCACGTACAACAAATGTAAGTTATCTAATATTTCTATTCCTGATAGAGGTTCAGTTAAGAAATCTATAAACACGAGTTGTGGAAAGCAGAGAAGCACCTTGTACACCTGTCAATTCCCAACACTTCTCACTTTGAGGTGTTGGGTTAATTGGGAACTAGTAGCAGGGAGGCCATCATGTTATAATTAGTAGAGGAAAAGGATGATGCTCTAAGACATGTTTTTGCTCACCATTTTTTGTCATCCTCCTGTGTTTGAATAACCAATCACACTTAGTGTACATAAATATATATATATATATATATATATATATATATATATATATATATATATATATATATATATATATATATATATATATATATATATAATACAATGATGACAGTAGAGAAGGCTGAAGGAAGAGAACCAAAAAAAAAAAAGAAATGAGGGGAAGAAACAGTAACTGAACAAAATGGGGAACTTGGCATCTAAGGTGAATAACTAGGAGAGAGCAGTTTGAAAATCAAAAGTTGTGACATGAAGGAAAAAGTTGAATATGACTTAGAAATGGAAAGAAAGAAAAAAGAAGATACAAAATGTCAGAATATGAGTAAAAGAAGAAACAGGAGGGTGTAACATGTACAATAGGTAGATGAGATTGCACACAATGTTGGTGAGTGTTAAACTAAACCCCTTTCTGATGAACTGACATATTGAGGACCTCAGGAGTGATATTCTTTTTGGTAAATTGTTGCAGGAAGGCAATGGATATAATTTAGTGGTATATAGCATGGTCGCAGTTGCAGTCCTTGGATAACAGGTTATTTTTCTTTTCATTATAGTTACGTAGGAGTTATGCAATACTGAATGGTATACATCATCCCATGGTTTGGGGCCGTAAGATATCATGAAAAATTGTGCACCTCAAACAGAACATTAGTGAAAGCAAATCACTTATTTTCTTGAAAGGATGTATATCAAATAAAAAATGTGAAATATAGCATCCTGCAAAACCATTTATGGATAAACTGACTTCTGAATTTTAGGAATACATTGAAGTTGACTCAATGCATACAGAAGTAATACCGCATGTTCAGTGAACAATTTTACGAAAAATGGGGATATGACAACTTCAGCTGTCAACATTATTCCCATGAGAGTATTCTGTAAACAAAACTAGCAGTAACTATTAGTTGGAATATTATCTTAACTATTTACTATGCACTATGCATATTTTATGGATGTAACTTACCATCTATAATACATCTTATGATAGCAGTACATCAATATGTCACAGCAGAATGTTCATACTCACACATAACAATGCCAAGTGTAATGAGAATACTGCCCTGTCGTTTCAGCCAATTATTAACAATCCCTAATTTTTGGTAAAATACTTAGCAAGGGAGAAGGTTCATCACCACCACCTCGTAACGAAGCCTAGATCGTCATTGTACAGCAAAGTTAACGAATGACAATAACATTATGCTAAGAGATTACAAAGTACAAGTTATTTCTAAATGTGGACAATTTCTCTCATAACATTCATACTTCCAACTAAAAATCCCTGAGTCGGCACAATTCATGCACACCAGTCATCACATGTTCCTGACAAACAATCGCTCCCCAATTAAAATAATACACACAAAACCACCAAATCGACATATCACGACCATACACCCACAGCTCAGCCATCCATCCCCCCTGCGTAAAATAAACACCGAAGGACATTTATACCGTAAATTAGGATTTTTTTAACGAGCGCCTCCTTCCCTAAGCTCGCTCGCTGTTGGTCTTGTTTACATCCGAGAGACACATGAACCCTGGCCCCTTTTGTCAGTTTTACTATCTTCTCTGGGAGGATATAAGGGATAGGATGGTTTATATTTTTAGAAATGGAAAATATCAAATATCTGAATCGTATTCTTTGATATCCTATCATAATTCTTTCCGATATATTTGTCAATACCGGTTTAATAAAACTAACCGCATTTAAACAAAGAGACAAAATTAAAAAAAACAAAACACAAAAATACCATCTCAAATGAACTCAAACTCAAGAAAATTATTTCCACTACCGAAAAAAGAGAACCAAAAGAGAACCATCGCCCGAGTCCTCCCCCGCCGTCGCCCGGAGAAGAAGTCGCAACGCCGGTCCGTCTCCACCATGGCTGCTGCGAGGTTCGGAATCTTGGTAGGTGCCGAATTTTCACCGTTTAGGGGACTCTTGCCGTTTGATTTCTTGGTCTGGGTAGTTCTTTGGTTATTGCTATTTAAGGAGAAAGTACTGTTGTGGTTAATAATGCTGGCGATAGGGGTTTTCTGGTAGATTGATGAGGCCGCCGGTGGAGAGAGCCGATATTTTGGATCAGCTGATCGGGGAAGGTTATTTTGGTGGTCCTTATTTTTGGCTAAAATTATGAAAAAGGGTAAAGACGACGATAAAGAATTAATAAAGGGTGAATAGGGTAGATGAAGTTAGTGAGATTTGTGATAGGTCTACTAGATTTCCGATCTTAATATACAAGAGGACGAAACCAGAATACATTTCGGTTTGTTGACATCCAAGAGAAACGGTATTTTTCTTTCGGTAATTTGGCAGTAAAGGACCAGAAAAGTAAGAACCGCCAGATTAGATGTTTAAAATTTATGTATTTCGAGTCATATTTTTGTGAGGGTAAAATCACATGTTCAAAGTTAGTTTGGTATTACATAAGTGTTTTTTTTTTATTATTATAGTTTCACACATTTGTCTGACCTTACAATTTTTAATTTTCGGCTAATGTTACTTAGAGGGATGTACAGAGATAGAGGTAAATGGACACTACCCCACTAACTAGAGTACATAAAACTAGAGTAATACACAACACAGGTACAGATTCAGCGGCCTCATATTTACTGCGAAGGGATGAAAATATCCGCTGCATGTCATCGCTTAAAGTCCACAACACCCTCACACAGCCAGAGTTCTTAATTTTATTTTATTTATTTTTTATACAGGCATGAAGTGTTAATAAAGAGGTACAGGGGGTTTGCTTTGCTGTCTAGGGGGTAAATAGAAGGTAGGAAAGGTTAGGTCTGGATTTTGGGTTCACATGATACCCTGGTTTTGGGACTTGGTATCTGGAGGGTGCATCGACTCTCGGTAAGAATACCTTATTTTCTGTACCAATTATTCACTGTGCATTAAGTGTTAATCTACCATTGTTTTCTGCTGTGATAATTATAAATAAGACAGTTCCACCTTGAAAACTGGAAAACCTGAGCCAATAACCCCCTCCTGATTGCTGTACTTGCTTAGCTGGGGGGTGAGAGAAACCTAAAAATTTGTAGAATTTTTTTCCACATGTGACAGTCAGGATTACAGGAAAAAAACATTTGGAATGGTTCTCTTGGCAAAAACTAAAGGTAAAACTTTCCGTCTATGTCAACCAAGAGTATAGTAAAAAAGTGTATGGAGTGGCTAGCTTGACAAAAACTAAGCCACTTTTCATCTATGGCAAAATGTGCACAAATCGGAAATAAGGTTGATACAGGGCAGAGAAGAGAGAAGATCAACCCTTCGTGTTCTAAGTCCCCATTCAGGTTTACCTTACGAGGACTAAATGTGATGCGTGACTAATTTCTGCAATCTATCAAGTAGTCCATGTATTGTGAGAATGATTATTTTGTAATTATATTCGTCTGTTTTTCCGTATTCATTTAAGTAAGGCATTCTCTTAGTTTTATTATACTTTGTTTCCCTTGGTAATTATTTACACTTTTCTGTACAATAACCTTGTGCGCATGTGAGTTTTCACCGGGAGATTTGACGGAAAACTTTCCGCGCATGTCAACCAATCGTACAGTTAAATAAGTGTATGGAATGGATACCTTGACGAAAAGTAAGACACTTTTCATCTATGGCAACTACTGCGCAAATCTAAAATAAGGGAGATATAGGACAGAGAAGAGAGAAACTCGACCCTTCATTTTCTAAGTTCCCTTCCATGTTTACCTTGCGAGATCAAAACAATTGTGACACGTAACTCATTACTGCGATCCAGCAAGTAGTCTATGTATTGCTACGCGCTTGTGAGAATGCTTATTTTGTCATTACTAGCGTCTGATTCTGTGAATTCATGTATGTAATGCATTCTTCTAGTTTTATTATACTCCTCTTGCGTCTTTTGGTAATTATTTGTTATTCTATACAATAACCTTTTGCGCATGCGCGTTTTCACCGGGAGATTTGACAGGTCGACCCACCGCCATTCGCTCAGAAACACCGGTGAAAAATGTTTCATTTCAAATGCTGTGTCGACATCGGGTTATTTTTAAAACTATATTGTGGATATACAGGACAAATAGGCATTATTCCCAATCACAAGCCTGATATTTGAGCCCAACAAGTGCCCCAAATGCCAAAAAAAGTGATTAGAAACCAAGCAATTCTGACCATAGACGGAAGTTCGGTTTTTCGCTTTATAAAGGTATGTGGTATATTACTACGGGGGTTCAGGGGGAATGTATAGATCGTAGTGTATAAATCCCACAGGGTTAGGTTAGGCTAGGTTAGGTTAGGTTGGTTTGTTGGTTAGGACGCATTGTACGATTACCACCGGGGATCTGGATTATGTGAAATCCCATAGATTTTTACCGAACGGTGGGTTTGGTTCCCGTAGAGTTTTTTGAAATTTACACATTTCTGCTCTCTATTTTGCTTATTTTAGCCTGTTTTACCCCGCAATTTCCCTGATCTACTTCATGCCCTCCCCTGCTATCGGGACTTACGAAAACACATCAAGATTGTCGGCTGGAGAATCTGACGGAGAATATCATCAGATTCGTTCTCATCACACGAGAACAAATTTGATGATATAAACATTGTCAGGGAAGACCCAGTTGTCATTTTTGGAAAATTAACCGATTTGACAGCCTGTGTGATGCCATTTATTGAGAAATACTGGTGAAAAATGTTTCATTTTAAGTGCTGTATTGATTCTGGTTCCTTTTTTTTTAAAGCCATATTGTGGATTTACAGGACAAATAGAAATTGGTCTCAGAGCCTGATGTTTAAGCCCATCAAGTCCCCCAAATGCTGAAAAAGTGATTAGAAACTAAGTAATTCTCACCATAGACGAAAGCGAAGAAAAATTTGGTCTTTTGCTATGTAAAGATGGGGTTTTACCCTGCGGGCCAGGGATCAGAACCCCCTGGCTAGGTAATATATAGATTGTATGTTCCTAAAGCCATGGGGGTCCAGGTGGCATAGCCCATTTGCTAGGCACATATAATACCACAGGGTCCAGGGGAATAGCCCCCTGGTTAAGCATATATATTACTACAGGGGTCCAGGGGGCAGAGCCCCACTGGCTAGGGAATATAAAGATCGTAATGTATAAATCCCACAGGGTTAAGATTAAGTTGGATTATTGGTTAGGAGGCATTGTACAATTACCGCAGGGGTTTGATTATTGTAGAGTTTTTCAAAGATTGGTGTATTGGTCCATAGACCGATTTTAAGCATTTTTTGTGCTTGTTTTACACATTTCTTTTCTCTATTCTTATTTCAGCCTGTTTTACCCTCTAATTTCCCTGATCTACTTCATGCCCTCCCCTACTATTGCAACGGAGATTATCATCAGATTCATTCTCATCACACAAGAACTAACCTACAAATAATGTCAGGGAAGACCCAATTGTCATATTTGGAAAATTAACCAAACTAACACCCTTTTAATCTATGGCAGAAGGTGTGCAAATTGAAAATAAAGCAGATATAGGACAGAGAAGAGAGAAGATCAGCCCATCATTTTCTAAATTTACCTTGCAAGGATGAAAACAAAAGTGATTTTAACTCATTACTGCTATCTATCAATCAGTCTGTGTATTACTACATGCTTGTGAGGTCTATTATTTTATAGACATTTTGCCACTGGGAGATTTGGCAGACCATGCGACACAGTTCATTGAGAAACTGATTTTTCTTATACATAGCTTCACCAGAGCTTAGTTACCAAAGTCAATTACAAGTCCAACCTGATCTCACCTATTTACCCTTTTTCTTATTTTTTTGAAAGATTTCTTCTTACAACTATTTGTATTTATGATGGTATAATTATCCCAATGTCACAAAGAATAACTAATGAAATTAATAGTAATAAAAATCCTGGGATGAGGATATCAAGTGGAATCAGGTAGGCCTACTAATTTGACTCCTTGGTGACTCAGCACCTTCCGTTTACATTGCTATTTCCTTGATTATTCAAATTATCTCATTTGGTCTTGAAATTGAATTGTAAGGGAAGGCTTAATATTTTCATGAGAAATAGATGTATGCATATGGTACAATAATCCTAGAAATAACTGAAGTAGTTATGTTATTGTTTGATCTATGCGCATTAAAACCACTTTCATGCTTTCTTATAAGTTTGATGGTCAAAATAATGTGCAAGAATAAAATGGGAATTCTAAGGTTGTGCATAGTATTTGCATAGCTATTTCACCTCCCATACAAAAATACAATGCTGATTAATTCCTATAGTCCAAGCTGCTTCAATTGATTTCTTACCTCTTAAGCTCCTCTATAATTTAGGCATCAAGGGTGGGGAGAGGAATGGTGAACTACAACTCCCAATCTCTACTTTGGTGAGAATGGGATCTGGTGATGGTAGACTAGTATATTTGGTATTTAAAAAAAAAAAAATTTCCCATCCTCATGGCCATAAAGAGCAATACCCACTATTGCCTACTGAACCAGGCATAAATTTACTTCCTCGTAACTTAAGTTTTTCTTAGTCTTTTTTTACCATTTAAA